TCCCGGGGCTCGGGATGCTCCAGGAATGTGGGGGGTTTCTTTTCCCGGGGCTCGGGATGCTCCAGGAATGTGGGGGGTTTCTTTTCCCGGGGCTCGGGATGCTCCAGGAATGTGGGGGGTTTCTTTTCCCGGGGCTCGGGATGCTCCAGGAATGTGGGGGGTTTTCTTTTCCCGGGGCTCGGGATGCTCCAGGAATGTGGGAGTTTTCCAGGCATTTAAGGTGGCTCTGAAGGGGTTGGAGGTTCTTTGGGAGGCCCAAAAAACTGGGAAGAAGGAGCTTTGGAAGGGTTTTTTAGCCCGGTTCCAACAAGTGGCACATGTCAGGGATCAGGGGGAGCTGGGAAAGACAAGGAATGATCCCGGTTATAAAGACCAGGAATGATCCTGGTGATCCCACCCCTGGATGCACCTGCCCCAGGGAAACGTTTGGGGGCATTTTCCTCCTTCTTCCCTTCCCTCATTCCCTCTGGTTCTGCACAGGCAGGAACTCTGGAGGTGACATTCCCGCCCCAGCTCAGCTCCAGAGCTTTTTTCCCTGAGGATGACTGTGCACTCCCAGGGCCCCAGCTCCCTGGGGAAAGGCGGGGATGGAGGGAAAGGCTGGGAGGGAGGGAAAGGCTGGGATGGAGGGGAAAAGCAGCTTCACAAGCCCTGCCAGAAGGGAGAATCCTGCTTGGAAAAATGAGCCTCCAGAATTCCAGCTGCCGACAGTTTTGCAGCCCAACCACTGCCCAACCCTCTGCTTGTCTCACTCTAAAGCAAATTAATTCCAGATTTTCCAACAGATCCCCCTGTTTAATTGGGCCATAAGATCCCCAGCAAGGCAGGCAGGGACCTCAAACCCCTTCCCGAACTGCTGGAGACGTTATTCCCAGTTTTTCCTGAGCTGTTCAGCCTCTCTCAAGGTGACAAGTGAGGCAGAACTTTCTCTTACCGAGCACATTTCCCAAAATATGCTCCACTGCCCCTGTGCAGACGCAGCACCCACCCACCAGGATGTTCCCTTTCCTTGCATCCCAGACACACATTTTGCAGGAACTGTCCTCGTGCCAAAGCCAGACAAAGAGAGGCCTCCAAACTGCCAGAATTGTTATAAACCAGGTGTCATTTTAGGGCCTGGTTTTTACTAAAACCAGCCTTTCTTGATCCGAGGCTCTGCAAGGGCTTTGTCCTATAAATAATGAGATAATTTGGTTGCCCCGAATAATTCAATTTGTGCTGAGCCAGTCCACCACAGCAAAGGGGCTGGACATCAAAACATTTCACTCAGCTGAGGAAAAAAAACCAAAAATAACCCAAAAAGGAGAAGTAAAGAAAGAAGATGTTTGTTTGTTTTTTTTAATGGTGTTCAAGTGTTTGCAAATTCATTTCCACCTGGGAGAGAAGAGGCAAGAAAAGCCTCTGAATATTGAATTTAGTGGCATTGGCAAAAAGCTTTTTCTCTCCTGGGAGAATCGTCGGTCCTCTGGGTTGGAAGTTTAGCTGGGCAAGGATTAGGGAGTTCTCCTGGCACTGGGTGAATCTTGAAATAAAATCATGGAATCCCAGCATGGTTTGGGTTGGGAAGGACCTTAAAGACACAGGTCCAGCCCAGGGACACCTTCCACTAGCCCAGGTTGCTCCAACCTGGCCTTGGACACTTCCAGGGATCCAGGGGCAGCCACAGCTTCACTGGGAAAAAATCCATTCCAGCCCCTCCCAGCCAAGAATTCCTTCCCAATATCCCATCCAAACCTACCCATCTCCAGACCTTTCAAACTCAGACATTATCAGCTGCTAAAGAAACCCCTGGAATGTTGGGAAAAGGCCCTTTTCCAGTGTCACCCCAAGAAAACTGAAGACAGGAGAACACACTTTGCCTTTTTCTCCCCCTTTTCCCGGGGCTGCTCAGCCCTTGCATCCAGCTCCCAGAAAATACCCCCCATTCCATGAAATTCCTGTGGCTTTCCACCTTCCCCCACATTCCTGCCAGGATAAGTGATGCCTTTTAGGAAGCAGGGAGCTCCCCCAGGGCAGGAGGGCTGAGGAGGCAGCAGTTTGTAACATCCCTGCTCCCCTCCAACCTGCCCAAGGGACGCTCTGGAAACATCCCTGGAAAGAGGGAGGGAGGAAAATCCACATTTCCAGCGCCTCTAGTATGGAATTCTCTCCTTCTAAAGGTCAATAGAACCCTCATCACTCCTTGTCTTCATCCCTCTTTTGGGGCAGAGCTAAAAATCCCAGAGCTGAAAATCCCAGAGCTGAGAAAATCCCAAGATTATTTGGGATGATCCTTCAGGTCCCTTCCAACCCCAACCATTCCATGGTTCCACTCCATAATTTATCCCACTTAAATTCACTCATTATGACCTTTTTTTCCCCCTATTAATTGACCTGGGAAGGAAACCCAGATCAATTCTTTATTAGGATTCCCCATTTGCACTCGGTGACCTCGGAGGTCTTTCCAACCTCAGGGATTCTGGGATCATCCCTGTGTTTCCAGCGTTGCATTTGGACCCTGCCAGGGTTGGGATGCCCTCACCAGAGACATTTTTCCCTCCTGGATGGATGTCCCTTGCTGGATTCTCCATCTCCTGCTTAGAAGGAAAGGCAGGGAAAGAACATTTGTGTGCCTTTATTTAAATCTCCACCTTCCTGAGCCATCCGTGGCTTTTGGATGTGGAACCAAATGCAATTAAGGGATAAATATTGTTAATTTTTCAGGGAAACACCAACACCAATCAAGCCTAATTAGAAGGGACATTAAAAAAAAAAAAAAGACCTCAAAAAGTGGTGCCTTTTGCTCTTTTTCTTCTCTGCTGCTTAAATAAAACTCCTGCATCCGACAGCTCCCTCCTTTTCCACTGGGAATGATCCCTCTGCTCCCCCCTCAGCACCACTGACAGGTCCCACCTGCCTGAAGTGAATCAGAAGGGAGCAACAGTGATATTTTTAATTATTTGGGAGGCAGGAGAACCAATGTCAAACTGTTCTGACCTCAAAATGCCACTTGCCTGGGAAGGATTGAATGGTTTGGGATTTAGGAGATGTTTTGCAGCCCCGAGTTTCCAAGCTCAGGGCAGATCCAGCTCCTTATGGAATAGTTTTTTTCACCTCCCAGCCCTTTTTTGGGCGCTTGGAGAAGCAGAAGGAAGACCAGGATATCAAAATAGTCCAACCTTGACTCTGAGTTTAGTTCCCCCACCCCCAAAATAGCCCCGTGGGATTGGAAACCCAAAATAAGGGGCAGCAACAGGCCCCCAACCCCCTGCCAGGGAGCCACTTGATCCCTGGGACACCCCAAAAATCCTCTTCCCTGCTCCCAATCCCAGAGATCAAGCACAGACCTGGATCCAGGGCAGGATTTATTTGCTTTAAATGGAGAATCTGGAAACTGGATCCCCAAATCTGAGCTGGGCACTGCAGGCTCTGCTTCGAATCCCTGAAATAATCATTGATTTATTATTTATTATTTATTATCAGCTCTGGAGATGTTTCCTTAGTGAATAAGCAGCTCTTCCACCAACACTCCCTGGAATATTCACCAATCCCTACATCATTTTCTCCTCTGCATTTCAGTCCAGGCTCCTAAGCCAGAATTTTCTCTTTTCCATAAACACAATTAAACCCTGGTTTTAGCCCAGAGCCTCCTCATTATTCCTTAAATTCTGCTCCATTCCAGTTCCTCCTGGACTCCCAACTTTCTCCCATCCCTATGGACATTGCCCTGAGGTTGATCCCAGGTGTGTTTGCAGCTTTTCCTTTGGTATGTTCCCATTTTCTTGCCTTCCAAAGCCTATCCCTGTTGAATTATCCCCTGAAAGCTGCCAGTGCTGCTTCTTCCCTGAATTTTCCATGTTCCCAACAGCCTCCTTCACCTAAGGATGACTCCCTGAAGCCTGAGCCCCTCTGCAGAAGACTTCCCTCCTTCCTCCAGTCCTCTGGAATCTTCTGTTCAGTGCAACTGCTTTGCATGGACAAAGCAATGTCCACATTCCACTCCTGGACCACATTCCATCCCCTTTGATGGAATTCTGGATATTTTTTCCACTTCTGGACCACATTCCGTCCCCTTTGATGGAATTCTGGGTGGATTTTCCCCTCCATCCTCCACTCTTGGTCCACATTCCATCCTCTCTGATGGATCTTTGATGGATCTCTGGGTGTTTTTTCCCCTCCATTCTCCACTCTGGGACCACATTCCATCCCCTTTGATGGGATTCTGGGTGATTTTTCCCTCCATCTTCCACTCTTGGACCAAATTCCATGACCTTTGATGGAACACTGGATGGTTTTCCCCTCCATTCTCCACTTCTGGACCACTTTCCATCCCCTTTGATGGAACTCTGGGTGGTTTTTCCCTCCATCTTCCAATCCTGGACCACATTCCATCCTCTCTGGTGGAACTCTGGGTGGTTTTTCCCCTCCATCTTCCAATCCTGGATCACATTCCATCCTCTCTGATGGAACACTGGGTGGTTTTCCCCTCCTTCCTCCACTTCTGGACCACATTCCATCCCCCGGAACTCTGAATGTTTTTTCCCTCCATCTTCCAATCCTGGACCACATTCCATGCCCTTTAATGGAATTCTGAGTGTTTTTTCCCTCCATCTCCAATTCTGGACCACATTCCATCCCCTCTGATGGAACTCTGGGTGATTTT